GCTATGCGCCATAGAAAAGAAGTTCCGCAGTGTACAAGATGTCAAAATCTTGGACATACAAAAAATTACTGCTCACGCATCGCACGCTGCGTAAAATATGCCAAAGAGCATCTAACAAAAGATTGCCCCTGGAAGGACCCAGTCAACGCCGGCGTTAAATGTGCTCTTTGTTCTGGTAATCACCCAGCCAGCTATAGAGAGTGCACCATTTATAAAGAAGAAAGACGACGCAGATTCCCTCCCCTGAGGCAAAGACAATCCGTCCAACCTATTGACAATTCTCAACCTTTCGTCCGTCCAAACGTTTCCTTCTCAGATGCTACTTCTAGAAGCATAAACAGCAACAGAAACCACAGGGACAACCAAGGAGGACTGTCCTCAGACAATCAACAGCAAATAATTACTCCAAGTAACCAACAAACAGACATGCAAGAACTAAAAGCTATGATGAAAACTCTCATGGAACAAATGAGCACTATGCTGAACATTTTGACAAACCTCCTACCTTTGAGAAAATGATGGCCTTATACTACAAACTATGTATATGAAACGCCAACGGACTTGCGCAGCACCACCAAGAAGTAAAACAATTTCTTCGTCATAACGATATTGACATAATGCTAATCAGTGAACACATTTTACTAGCAAAAGCTACCTCAACATTCCACAATATACAACATACAGTACTAGACTTCCGGACGAAAAACCACATGGTGGAACAGCCATTATAATAAAGTCTAAAATCAAACATTCTCTGTTAGATCCACACTGCAATGAGTTTCTACAAGCCACGAACATTTCTATTGATTTTCCTCAAAATAGAATCATAATTTCTGCCATTTACTTCCCCCCAAAACATAAAATATTTAAACAATACTTTGACATTTTTTTCAGTCCTCTAGGAAATAAGTTTTTTGTTGGAGGTGACTATAATGCGAAACATCTATACTGGGGATCAAGACTCACCAGTCCTAGAGGACGTGAACTGTACAGCTCCATGCTCACTAACAATTTAATCCCAATCTCAACCGGTGAACCAACTTATTGGCCAAGCGACCCAAACAGAATTCCGTTAGACTCCTACATAACCAAAGGAATAACAAAAAGTAACATGAAACCTCAAAATAGCCTAGATTTGAGCTCTGACCAATCTCCTATTATACTAACCATTTTTTGTTAACAACCACCGATTGTCATAAAATCTTACCTGACCAACAAATTTACGGACTGGAACAAATTTAGAGAACTGCTCGATACCAACTTAAATTGTAATATGTTATTAAAGTCAGAAAACGACATAAATAACGCGTAAATCATCTCACCGAAACACTACATCATTCGGCACTAAATAGCACTCCTTCAATTACAACCAGTAATGAACTCAACTATCCTCTGTACATCAAACAACATATTGCGATTAAAAGAAGACTCCGAAAAATATGGCAAACATCAAGATCTCCTCAAGAGAAAACAAGATTGAACAGCGCCTGTAAAGAAGTAAAAAGATTACTAAAAGAATACAACAACAACGTACTTGAAAAAAGAATCAAAGACCTGACGGCTACTAAGGACACGAAACGCTTACTCCATATGGAAAGCTACTAAACATTTCAAACAACCTATACTCCCAGTAATTCCTATTAGAAAAAATGATAACTCCTGGGCAAAAAGTCATCAAGAAAAGGTCGATTTATTTGCTGATTTCTTCGAAAATGTATTTCAACCATTTCCGCAAAACTACTTCCAGGAGGAGCAAACCACTGAAGAAATACAGTTTGAAAACTTTTCCAACCAAGAGTGTACTCAAATCCGCTTCCTGGCATTGGAAGTCAAACATAAAATTTCAGTCTCAAGATCGGGTAGGTAAATCTCCTGGCCATGATCTTATATCAATCCAAATCCTGAAACAGCTCGCACCAAAAACTCTGGGGTACATAACAATTCTGTTCAACTCTCTGCTAAGATTAAAAGTGTTTCCTAAGGCGTGGAAAGTAGCTAAAGTAATTCTAATTCCCAAAACAGATAAGGATCCTTGTCTTCTGAAGTCATACCGACCAATAAATTTACTTTCAACCCTCTCCAAAATATTTGAGAAACTTCTGCTCAAAAGAGTTCTAACAATACTCCATGACAAATCTATAATCCCGGACTATCAATTTGGTTTTAGAAAGCTACATTCCACCATAAACAAACACACAGAATCGTCGAACAGATAAATGCTACCCTACACAAAAAGAAGTACTGTTCAGCCTGTTTCATTGATATATCCCAAGCCATTGACAAGGTTTGGCATGCCGGACTACTCCATAAATTAAAGAATATTCTACCTGCACCATTATTCTTAATATTAAAATCCTATCTTACTGAGAGGAAATTCTACATTAGTCTAGCAAACCAAACCTCATCCCTCAGAAACATTAACTCTGGCGTTCCCCAAGGTAGCGTGCTAGAAGCAACACAAAAATTATTCAAAAGTTTCAAAATAAGATACTAAGGATCA